ACCAAAAATTGATATTTTTGATCACAACAATAAACACTGAATAATTATTATTTTTCAATTTGCAAACAAAATTTAGTTTTACTATAAGTAAAAAATATTGTAATATCTATTCATTCATTTTAAAATGTACAGTAAAAGGAAGTTATTATTATAATGGTGGGAAGTCATAAAACGTCGGTGTTGGTTTCGTCATTAATGTGATGGACATACAATTATTTTTCTGATAAAATCTGTAACAAATGTAGGTAAAGTACCAGCGAAAAACTGGGGAATAAATTTTTACTTAGTGAATTGTGCGGTTTTATTTTATAAAGAAGGAAATATAATAAATGTTCTTTAGTTTGCTTACAGATGATAATTTCGGAGTTTATCCTTATGTAATAGTATAATGATATATACATATATTTGACTTTCATTTGAACTGATTCTTTTTTATGAAAATAAATATATTTAACATATAGTTTTTATTAAACTTTGTATGATACTGATAGTTTTTTCCTTTTATTTTTGATACAACAATAAAATAAAATATCGGTATAAAAATAAAGTGCCATTCCAAGCTTAGAACTCTGCAAACAATATAATACGGGTCACGAGGTCTAACTTTAAAAGGAGTTTTTCACTAACCGAATTATTTGCTTTCTTACAACACTGTCAAGTCTTTGCCCATTTTTAATTCAGAGCTGTTCTTTATGGCGAATAAAATATTAAAGGTTTTTGTGTCTGTTTTTAAAACTATTGATATACAAAGTCTCAAAGTTAGATAGTGATCCGGCTTGAATAAATATAAATGCTTAACATTTGAAATCATTTATTTTATCTATCACTGCTCTTTGTTTTCGATGATTTGATTTATTTTAATAAATACATATAATTAATAGAGCAAAATCTATTGTCATTACACAACAGATATTATTTATGATTTCATTGTCAATAAAAAGATTGAAGTGAATTAAAAATAATAATATTATAATTGATCAAATATTAACTAGCTCCGAAAGGCGGTCGATACAGCGTGGGACTTGTCTGAGACATCATGTGTAGATATTGAAGGGTTTTATTTTAAATCATTTGTGTATTCATTTAGGGTTATTTCATTAAATCATAAATTTTAATCCCATCGGAACCGATATTTAGATAAAATTAAACTATATGCTTAATTTTTACTGTATGGAAACAAATTTGACAGTAATTAAAACTAAAACACAAGACCTAAAACAATATTTTTTTTGTACGTATTTCATTATTTATTTATAAACATTGTTACATAATACATATATGATAAACAATTTAAACAAATGTAAAATTTCAGCTGTCGTCTTTAGGTAGTTCGAAATTTTTAATAGTTAAAACCAATCAAAATAAATTTTTCTACATACTTAATTGTAAAAAATTCTAAATATTAAAAAAATCAATTAATTTAAACAATAATAGGATGTTTTTATTCTTTAACTTTAAATTGTTTTCTATAATTACAGCTCATTAAAATGCAGCTGTAAAAAATGAAACTACAAACGATTCTTCATAAACGAGTTCATATAAAAAAATAACATAAAAAATTCGAATTTGTCATTAGTTTTTATACTATTCTCTATTGTAAAATAAGAAAAATGGTGACATTTATACAATTTATATTTAGGCGTTTAAAGAACATGAAATTTGAATAGAAATCAAAGACGAAAGGCCTTCATGGAGTGTATGTAATCTCGACAAAGCAGTTAAAAGCTTTTTAACGTACGGGACATTGGAGAATGAGTTTCACAAAAGTTATTATTATATTTTATTCTCCCTCGCAACGCCTTATTATTTTTATACTTTTCTTTACAGAAGGTTATCGGCTATAAAAAACGAAATGTTTTCTGCTTGATTGAACCCTCGTGAGGCGCGTATTTTATTTCCTTATAACTTAGCAATATATTGTGACACATTCTTAAAAGGGAGTTTTTATTAAAAAATATTCATGTAATAAAAGACAATACGACATTGGAACATTATGTCACATAAATGTGACGTAGTCTTATTAGAATCTATAAAATACTAAGTGGCAATATTGGAGTAGTTTACAATGATGGCGCGATAAGTGGGTGCAATAAATTGATGGCTCATTTTCTAATAAAGCATGTCGGCATGTGGATGAACGGCTTGAAACTAAGTTGAGTTTTGCATGAAATCGATAGTTTTCTGATAGTTTATGTGGTCGTTACTTTAACATGTTATTATTACTTATCATATGTATCACAAAACAATATTACAACGTTCATTATAATAAAACATGTGAAAGAAGTTCTTACTTTTTCAATATTACTAATAAGATATTGTGTTTTTCTTTAGTGTCAACATATCTACTATTTCAAAAAAATTAAGAAATAATAGTCAATAACAATAATATTTTTCAGAAAATTGTCATTGATTTTTGTCATTGATTCATTAACATGAAGTGATTGTAAAAAATTACTAGAATTCCTCTTATTATAAAAAGTTAATTCTTTATGTTTTATTATGTACATGTAGAATACAGATAATAAAAATGTATATGTAGAATTTTCAAAACATTTTAACTTAACTACGATTAAACATAAGACGAGTTTCAAATTTGCTTGTTTATAAATATTTTAAAAAGAAGTATGTATTAATTATAATATTTTATTCAAAGTGATTAGTAAATAGATAGAATAAGTATTTAATCAAGACAGCTTTAAATAGTTTCTAAATTATTTCCAGGTAACGAGCAAAATTTGCATTTCGTGCGCTTTTATAGCGTTTTAAAAATTTCAATAAAATTGTTAATGTCCTTGGCGGATTTGAAATTTTTCGAATGGCTACATCTCAAAGAGTTTGTCTGATGTGAGGGCTAGCCGTGGTGGGTGTAGTAAACGCCAGTATAGCCAAAAAAAGCAGAACAGACATCCAATCCTCTCTAGGCTACTGTCACCGCATGCAGTTATGAATATATTTCACGATGTATTTTCCAGTTTTCAGTAAACCTTTGCTATATTTAAACTTGTCAGTTTCCCCCGATTTTTGTCCAAGAATATTAAGAATTTAGTTTTCTTTGTAGATAGATTAAATCTCGGCTCGTCCGTAATAGTTTTGATAGATTAAATAGTTTTGTGAGTCAGGGTATAGTATTTCCTGTCACGTTAAGAAAGATATGAAGAAAGAAACTTGTAAATTGTTATTTTTTAATATATAAAGTAGGTCGCGAGAATAGTGTTTGCGTTTAATAATATAAGGCCCCGAGGAGAATCGCAGCAGACTTTATTCGTACTAGAGTTTAAGAATATTCATTTTTTTTGTTGATTTTGTATGGACCAGTTCTAAGACAAAGACTGCATTTTTGTGACATGATTGTGTGTCCTTAAAAAAGTTGACTTTAGCAGTGTTTTTTGTTTAGCTATTCAAAATTATCTAGTAAAAATTCTAAGTGTTCCATGAATTCTTTAAGGATCTGTACATTTATCACTGGAATCAGTTAAAGTAATCAGATTTGCGATATGTTGACATTTATTCATTATTAAAAAGTACCAAAACATTTTTTGTTAATAATTTTATCCTGAAACTGTAAAGTTCTGAAGATGAAGGGGTTGATTGATAATGATGAAACCATATTATTGATAAGAAATTTTATTTGGTAATTTTTACAGAACAGCTAACGACCACTATGATATTGTAGTTTACGAGGAATCGATTTTAGATCGATTTTCCAGATATGTATATCTATCTACATATATATAATATTTGAAGACTACTTATAAATGATAACATGAGTACAGCGGAATAACAGTTTAATTTTAATAATATTGAAACAAAATGTAAACAAAGAATTTCATGTATACAAAAAGTTTTTTTACAATAAAATATATCATCTAATATTAAACACTAGTAACAATCTAGTTCGGACATTATCAACATTTAATACAATGTAAGACTTACTGTAACCATTACTCATACGTACAGAACAGTACACCATATTGTCTTTATCGCATAATATAATTAATTATTTACATACAACATACCATATTAATGTACATCGGAAATAAACAAAGCAGTATAATATTTAAAAATAAAAATTAGTAGATATAAGTATGTTAAGTAATTGTTATCATTGAATCATGAAAAAAAAATCTTTTATCATGACTTTAATGAAATTATATTAATTTTATGTAGACTCTCATTTTACAATATTCACATTTTACTTAACGAAAACAAAGTATAAATATTAAAATAACAATAAATTGCTAGCAAAATAAAAAACAATTTCTATTTGAGAGCGTTTTTCTTTTAACTTTTATAATGAAACAGTGAAATGAAAAATAATATATTGTGAAAATATTATTTACTAATAACAAATAATTCACATATATCTTATTTCGTAATATATATATTTGTGTTTTTAAGTAACACTTATAAGGTATTTAATAAGTGTATTTTTAAACAAAAAAGTATTCCTTTTAAGATGACATCAATAAAAATAAACTGGTCTTTATGTAATGTTATATTTAATAAGAATATACCTATCGGATATAAGGATTTTTCAGTTTAACAATTTAAATACTAATAAGATATTGGATTTGATATGGCAAAAAACCGTAAACTCTATCAGTCTTTTATAAAAATACGTTTTGAATAACATCTTATTTTTATCTAAATTATTATATAGTCTAGAAAATCACAATTTAAAAATTTCATTCATTTTAATAACAGTTTTTTACCCCGCGGTTTGGTTGTTAACTGTTTCAATAAAACTAATAATCGTACCTGTCTAGAATTTCATTTGACTTGTATCCCGAAGTTATACATTTGGTATAGTTGTGAGTAAGCTTTTACTTTACAAAGCTAGAGCTCGGATCTGAAAAGTTGATTTGATGTTTTGAAGTTAGACGAAACTGTAATTTTATTCTTACACAGTACACACTATTTACACAACGTTATTGCAGTTTCTTTACAATATAGCAGTCTGTTGGCACAAGCGCTTAAATAGCTTAAGGAGTTCTTAGTAGTCAGCTAAGAAATAGAACTACTATCACACTAAACCCAAAGCCGCGTACCGATGAAGAACTTGAAGACTGCGTTGATTCATAATCTGTTGGCAAATACTAGTTTTTATTGTTTGGTTTATAAGATCGCAGTGTAAATTAAACTGTAAGTATCTTATATTTTATTTATAACAAATCAATTTATTTTCGTTAATAACATGAAATATTGAAAGTTTCAATTTCTACATTTCATATCTTTAATATTTATAGCAGATTCAAAGTGTTATACACACCGACATCTTTCCATTCTTCTACTTCGTAATCTCCTATAACTCTATTTTCTGCCGAACTGTCCCTCCATCGATTCTTATGTTTACCTTGAAAAATACAAATAAAAACAAACATTTCCTTATAACAATTAAGAACAATGAAGGCTTTCAAGTCTGAATACAATATAGGGCGTCGTAAGGAAAGCCCAAATCTGTAACAATAAAAATGTACATTGAGAGTCAAAGAGCAAACAACATTGCTTTTCCCACAATAATATTACTAACGACCCAATTGTACGGAAGCATTGGGTCAGGCGGCAGAACCAATAAATACAGAATCCACCATCGACCTTTCTCGAGCTACGGTCGACGATGAATATATAAAAGGCACGTGGCCTTAACAACTTTTGACTTCTATTGCTCTTCTAATCGTGGTTTACGCGGCTATATTGAATTTGCAAATTTTCCAATAAGCAGTTGTACAAGAGGGGAATTGAGATGGACATGAAAAATTAATTCTGAGATTGCTGAACTCTGAAGGATTTTATTAAGGTTTTTAATAGTATTTACTAGTCATTGGAATGTTATTTTATCTTTCATATGTCTCAAGTAATTGCTTTTGGCAGTTTACGGAAATAAAATATATTTCATTTATATTAATTAATAACAATGTTACCTTTCTTCCTCTGCGGAAATGTTGGCACGTAATTAACTGTCGTGCTTATTGTGGATGGCGCCGGGATTTCTGACACAAACAAAATATTGGATGACGTAATAATATATTTGAATATAATTTTTTTTAATGAGGTATTATTGTATTTTAATTAAATATTAGAAACACAAATAATAAACATAACGCAATATTGACATAGAAGATATTTATTAAATTATAAATAATCATTCATAAGAATAAAAAGAATTTCTTTTTAAATATAAAATTACCGTCAAGTCGTATAAGCCCGTCTGTTTCACCGAGAGAGTTTTTGGCCACACAACGGTAAGACGAGAAATCCCTTGACGACACTTTGCGTATAGTCAGCTTCATTTTTCTACTATAACCGTCGTCATTTAAAGCCGTTATATATTTATTGCCTACAAGAAAACGTGATTCAGAACTGCAGTTCTACAGGTCAGTATAAGCTTACCAAAATTGAGTATTATACTATATTACATTTGTACAAAATACAAACAATTAAAGTGTCACTTATAAATTTAATATCATAATGTTATCTACACAACCTGATATAATCATATCCCCACGGTCCGTAGTCCAATAGTTAATTGAGGAGGGGTAGGCCTCGGTATGACACTCCAGGGTTACATCTTGCCCTACATATGCAGCCTCTAACTGATTAGGGATAGATAGCATCGGTGGAACTGTAAACCGTTATATTGCATTAATTTTTTTTACAATATCTTCATGTAATATATATTTCTTGTTCATTTACTTTTGCAATATCAAATATTATAAATATACTTCATTTTTTTATATACATATATTAAATGCGAAAACAGGATTAACATTTCAAAGCGTAATTAAACACATTAGTAACACTTACTGGGTAAAGAACTCATGCTAAAACATACTTTATTTGAGTGTTACTTTTTAAATAGGACATAGCTTTTTCAATTTGAGTTATATTTACTTAAGGATCCCTAAATAAATAGTTTTGAGTATAAATTGAATGCTGAATTACCTTTTTGGAAATGACATATTTTGAGATAAAATCATCATTAAAACGGATTGCTATATTACGTACGTTTAGCCTGGACTCGCCGTTATAATGAAAGGACGAATTCGAAACGAGGTCTCATTGGTTAATCGAGTGAAAGTTACGTGAACATTTTACGTATCTTATAAGAAATGCTATGAATGTGCTGAGATAAGGAATGTGAATTAGGGGTAGGAAATCGTCTCATTGGCTTCCAGTACGGGATGAAGGTGTCGGGTTCCGAAAACAGATTGCCATTATCGCATCTGTACTATATTCCCGTCAGCATTATGTTCTAATTGGGCTCAATTATGGACATAGATAGCTCCATCAGGTAAAGACGCCTCGTAAATGCTCGTTAATGACCCCTCAGAAAAATATTATTTCTATACCCCGAATACCGCTAAAGGAAACGATGTGAAAATGGGCACATACTTATGTTGAAGGAATTTGTGGGCAAGCTAACAGGGCGAGAGAAATGTTCCTGCGGTTGGTTTATGCGAAAGTGATATTAATTTAGAAAATCTCTATTCATTTTAATAATAACGATCTAAACTTTAATATTAAAATAATGAAATGAAATCACAATCTTTTTGATACACTGTAACGAGTTAATGCTGTAATTGTTTTAGTAGTTAATGTAATAGAAGTCGAAGTTATACATACTTTTAATTTTACAATAATTAATAAATGTATTATATACTTACACTGCACCATTAGAACGACACGTTTGCTTATTGAAGGCGGTACGCCATTCGAAGCAATGCATAAATATGCACCCATATGCAACCGAGATACTTTAGATATTGTAAGGTTCTCACCATCAACGACATTAACTGCGAAATAAAAAAAACTATTAATATTTACAGGTATATTGTGCTCTTATAAATGGCACTAAAATGTAAGAAATATCGAAAACATTTTTTTATCTTATTTGTTATTATATAAATGGAATAAATCATAAAATTTAACTTATTTAAAATAAAGAAGTTTAAACAATGGTAGGCTAAAAATGAATACATATTTTTAAAAGTCCCTTCACTTTATTGACAGTGAGTGAGAGTAATGTTGAGTATTATCAGATTTCTCTACTTGAAATCCCGGGTTATTAAAGAGAAACAACAATTAAAATAATAAAGAATCTTTGTGAATTCGGTCTTTATTACCTATTTAAGTAAAAAAATGAGTATTGCATGATTTCATACTAATTGATCGATAGCAGTGAGTCATAAAAGAAAATATTTGTGCTGGGAAAAGGCTAAGAATATATTCCTTATTGTACCTACCTCCCCTTTATTTAATACGTGTGAAAAGGAGGCTGACAAAATAAACGTTATGTTAAACACGTAATATTTCGATGTAAATTTGAAATTGAAATATATTTTTGATACGATATTTCGTAAGCGCATTTCCATTTGCATTTCTCGATTCAATTCTGTAAATATGCTGGCAATGCGAAGATTGTAACAATTTGGTTGTATTGTACGAAACAATTGGTTCAAGTTGTCATTTCAACGGAAGGTCGTCCAACGTCCCGAACCATTGGTCCCAGACATTTACTTTAGCTCACAAGATAATTTAAAGCTCGATTCGTAATGGAATTCGAATTATTCGAAAGAATCTCTGTAGGAATTTTATTTCGATTTTGTTTTTTCTTTTTTTAGATCCATTCGACAGATATTTTTTGTATTATGATAATATTGATAAAAAGTTTTTTTTTATAAAACCAACAAGACTTCCTTTTTCTTATCTTACCCAATTCACCATTGCAAATAAATTCTTGACCGTCTTCTCGTCTCCACATTACATAAGGCTCGGGGTAACCTGAAGCTCTACATACCATTGTAACGTTTGTACCTTCTCGAACCACCATATCAGTTGAAGTCATGTTGTCAATAATCATGGGTGAAACTACAAAAACATCATATTTATTTACTCATATAAAATTTAAATCTATTTTTATAAGAGTGCAAACAAATTTGTTGAGATATGTACCGACAACTTGTAGGTATCCCTTCCTAGAGCGCATTGGGTCTGTGTTGACCTGACACATATACCAACCACGGTCTACTTCTTGAACGTTCTTGATATGCAAATACCATGAGCGATGGTCGTTGTAGGAAAGACTTATGCGCGGGTTTTGGGTGATTATATTATGGTGGATGCTTAGGATTGTTTGTGTATCTACGCGAACCCATGCCACCTGCAATTAAATCTAGAGGTAAAAACGTTTACTTACGAAACAGATTTAAAAGTAACTCAGAAATAGTGTGTGAAAAGTGCAGAAAAGAAAATATTATGCGTAAACGATTGTTGTCATTAGTGTTGATCAATTTTTGAATTAAAAATGCTTTTTATGATTTACATTAATTTTTCCGTACTTGAAAATAAAATACAAGCAAAGAACATATATGATAACATTCGATACATATATGATATCTATCATTCGATTGGTTTTTTAAAAAGTTTTTTATTTATATTTTTAAAATGGATATGTATTTTTCACTCCCGTTAAATATGAATAAAATTCAAATTAAAACTTACTTCAATGATAAATTTAAAATCGTTGTAAAGCCTTGTCACGATTTCAAGCGTCTGTCTAAATTTTATTGTGTCGAGAATGTCCATAAAATGATTTTATATTGTGCACTATTATTTGAAATTCAGAACACACAATGAGGTAATTCAATAATCTCTTTGTTCCAGGTCACAATGCTAGTACGGCAGCGCGGACTTGTTTACTCGTCAAAGAATATTAAATCGTCTTCCAAACTCAGTTTTGGTGTTCTTATCCCACTTTAATCTGAGCCACTATAAATGCTACTCCAATTTCACTAACTATTCCTACTGCATGATTAAGAACTAGCGAATCGTGGATGAGCAAAGTGATATTAAGTTGGCTTGTTAAAATTTTACTTTATACGCTAACGGAGTTATATAGAATTCTTGTTATTCATGAATGGATAATTCTTGTTGGCATATCCTTTTATATTTGCATACACTAATTAACATTTTTGGTTGAAAAGTTTTTATATGTGCTTTACTTTTTGTACTAATTCATATTGATTGCAATTTAAATATTAAAGAGGTTTAACTTATTTCCATGTAAAAAAACCGAAATCACGTGTTTATGAACTGATGAGAAAACATGCAAATGATGTGATAGTTTTAATCTTGATAGTAATAGTAACTTAGTAGATCATTTTTTAATCACGAGCGTAAAAATGGAATATAATAAATAGATAAAATTTTAAGATTTTTGTAGACACAATACTGAAGCAATTCATTATTTATTTTAAATAGCAAGTAATTCAATTGTATTTTACCTTATATCCTCGTAGGTCTTCTACAACACAAGCTAGAAGAGCGTCTCTGCCAACGGTTACTGTGACGTTGGGCACCGGCTCCACAAAACGGGGAAACAGCGATTCTGAGAAAAAATTCGTTTGTTATTAGTGTTTTTGTTTGCAGCTCTCTATAGAGAAAAGAAGCCAAACGAGTAATAAAATTTCGTATTGTTTTACCAACAGATTTTAAGGGTAATTTTTTTACACTTCTTGGAATCCTTTAAATTTGATTTTTTTTCTTTCTTTTAATTTATACGTACACAAATATATTTCAATTGAAATGTAACTAACGTTTTTCTGATTATACTACGGGTATTTTATAATTGTAAAAACTAGATACTCCTGACGTTTCGGTTACTTGTCAGCAATCGTAAGACGAGACATTTCGTCTGAACGAGATCACGCAGAATTTTTTTTCATTTAAATGAATACTCGCGAAAGTCTTAGATCTCATTATATTTCAATAGCGTTTTATAATTTTAATATTTTTTTTTGATAAATCTGCGTCAATAAATTTGTAGAACATATATAAAGATTAGAAAATTAAAGAAAATTATTCCCTTTGATTATTATTTATCATATTGGAAATATTAAAAACATAAATCAAATCAACTATATCATTTAAGTTCTCTTTTCTAATAAACTTATTATGTAGTACTATCCTTATATACATTTAATGGTTGCATCATATTGTATGAATAGTTTAATTATGTAACTGGATATTATTATTTAGCTCTGTATATTTATTTCCTGCAGTACTGGTTAGTTTTGTATTCAGATCAAGTTTATATGCTATGTTATTCTTCTGAGTTTACACTTGTTATTATATTTGGAATGACTTTTGAGATATGTATTTAGGTATTTGAATTATATAAACAGAGTATCTTCGAATATAAATACATATATTTACATCACATTTAATTAACTATTTTAAAAGTTTAATCCAAAATGAATGAAAACTTTTGATAAGAAACGAAATTTTAGTATTCGTGATTTAGTTGTTATATTAAAACTCAAAATATATTACAATTCAAGACCATAATTAAACTCGTCACTGAAATAGCTTACAAAAATTTATTTGATACATTCATTGAATACTATTTTAAAACAAATAATTTCGTAATCTTTCGTAGAAATCGTTAGATAAGGATTTTGTTAACATTCCTATTTTTGGAATTTATGAGTATTAACAAAAAGCAGAGAACTGAAAACTACGAAAAGATTAAAGAAATAGTATTGGAAAAGTTAGAAAAGTACAATAATGTACATATTTTACACGAAATTGAGAGCAAAATGGGTCATATTATGCAGGGTTTCGAATACAATCGGAAATGAGAGCAATGAAGGCTTATACAGAACTATCAACCAAGCTCAATTGCACTTAGTAGTAAGAAATCATAGACACATTGTGTAAACATTTTATGAGATGAAATAGAAATCTAGAAATATATGTACCATTATAAAAATGAAGAAAAAATACTACGAAGAACAGGAATCGACATAATATTTAAAATATCTTTAATATTGTTAGTTTACGACGTTCCCGTATATACCTCGCATTTCGAATCAGCAAAAAAATACCAATGATATTTTATTTGAAATAGACAGCACTTTTGTCTTTGAATATGAAGGGAAGTAATAAATTATTATTGATATACATATTTTTCTGAAACATCTGGGTGATGTTCTTTTAACGTTGTTTTATAACGAGATCATATATTTGATTGTCATATATTTTTTATGCATTATTATATGTAGCACACTAAATAGCATTAGATTAATTAACTGTAAGAACGAAGTGATTTTTAGTAGCAAAGTGAGATACCTCTTATTTTGAGGTCTTTTACATTCCTTACTGTTATCATATGGTCATTAAAGCTTGTTGATACATTCGTCCGTTACGAGTAATATTAGCAATCTATTTACTCTAAACAACTCAACAACATGGAAAAATATCCGCGGATGATTGATGAGTCATCGCGAATAGAACAAATCCATCCAAGCCCCATCAATCTTGGGACTGTACTCCGTAACGTCTCGCTCTAATGAAAGAAGAGCTTAAATACAAACAATGTTGTTTCTAATATCCTGAACATGACTGATGGTATCGCATTTCATTGAAATTTAGTTTTTTCTTTTGAATTATTTTATAATGTGTTTTGTATTACCATTATATCCAGTGATTATTATTAAAAATATATTTTGTTTCACAGTGAACTGTTGAAGGTAAGGAAACAAAAGTAAGTCAGCAAATTACAATAAAGTGTTTCTAAAAAAAGAACATGTGTATGTAATGAGGTGTAGAGAAACATTAAATGTAATGCCCACTTAAAATTTGAATGTATAATATGAAAAAAATATGTTAAACATGTAATATTATTTAGTAGGGTGTAGTATATTATTAAACTTTTTTATATACAGTATATTTTGTATTGTGTTAATAAAAGAAGTTTAAGCATTAAAAAAAATGTTAAATATTTATTTCGATCTTTGTTTTCTAACAAAAGCTACTTCCTTAATTTACTTCTAAATGTTATTAAACTTTTTTTTGACGAATATTAAAACAATTTTTATACGCATTTTATAACATGACATTAGTTACTTTGAGCTTTGGTAAAATGTATGTAATGTACTATAAAAAATCTACTTAAAGATGGAAATTATTTTTTTTTTCACGGATATTCAATCCGGTAGAAATTTGCCGACGCAAAGAAGTGTTGTGATTGCAACTCATCCAATTCCCCTTCATGCATTAAAATAGGGTTTACGTGCAATAAAGAATATGACAAAAATATGAATAATATTAGGAAAGTATGTATGATCTGGTTTTTAATCATCGTTCTATATGTAAGCATCAATTCTGTTGTACTTCTACTATTCTGCTCACTAACTGAACCAAGGCAAACCTTGTTTTCGTCATATTTTTTGCCAACACAATTCTAAATCCTTATTGCAATATATTTTAATATTAATTCAACATAAGTTATGTAAAATAGTAGAAACGCTCTGTTTTACCATTAATTGAAATTTACGTTATCCACTCGTGTTTTCTTGTAAAGATTAAATTTAGGTTAAAATTATACTATTTTTCTTAACAATAAAGTACAGTTACTTTGTGTTGAAAACATTTTGCATCTTTTAACATCTCCGTTTAATTTTAACTTATAAATCGAAAATAAAACATTTAAATAAAACAGAATAATGGTACTAAATTATGCAAAATAAATATATTCGTTATAGTTTTTAATTTTTTTCCTATATCTAGTAGTATAGTAGATAGTAAACTATCTACTCATGTCAAAAAAGATTCGGAAAATATTTCCATGTAATTACGTTAGTTACATAGCTGGAGTAGTACGGCAAGAACATTAGTACATTTAAAAAATCCTCATGTTATTATGTTCTACCATACGTCACACATAAAATGTCTATAAAGTTTAATAGAACCCTTATAACGGGTGGTTGTCCAGTCTACGTCATTTTAATAGGATTTAGCTAATGGGTCTCCTGTTTACTATGTTCCCAGTTACAATTACCTATTCAATAGATTAATCTTGGCAACAATATATATCTAAAATATACAACGTATGTGCTTTGAGGCTAAATTATGTATTTCATGTCATTTAATTGAAGCCAGTAATTAAATAACGTATAATAATTTTTGCCATTAATGAGGGAGAGCTCCCGGGTCTAATGAATAAATTTTGCTGTATTTCTTCTATGTAAGTGAATTAACCAAGTTTAGTCGAGATATAAAAATAACAGCTATAACTCTTTTTAATAACAGGAGTTATTTCACTCTTTCTGAATTTTAATCTGTTGCAAAATTTTTAGCCTTTTTTGTTTGAAATCTGTTCTCGGATTGAAAATAATTTTTAAAATTCTTTTTTGTTTCTTTGTTCTCTCATAGGTGATAAATTAAGGCTTCGATTGTTTTAGAGTACGTTATGTTGTAACTTTATTTTTCGGATAATCTTTGCTTTCCTAATTTCTTCGATCCTTTCAATAATAAATGGAAAAGACTGAAAATCAAAGTCTGATATTCGTTCAATATTTCGTTAAATAATTTATAACAATGAATTTTAATATATGTATGAATAAAAATATACTCAATTTAGGAACATAACATCAAACGTATTTTTTTTTCATTTGAGTAATTTTTGTAATTAAGAGCAGATATAAAATATTAAATGGAATGTATTTTTAAAGGAACGAAATCCACTCTTTTAAATTTACACTGTGATTATAGGCAGTCATGTGGGATGAAAGCTTTTCTGTGTGATTAAACATGTTCATACATACATATGTATCGAACAGTCTTCATTGACTCTTATAATAAAAATAATTAATATAATATATTCATTTTCGTATCGCATTTCGTATTTTTATAATAAATCGCTCTTAGTTATAGGAGATTTAAAAAGAAAATATGATTTTTAATTCTTTTCTATAGTTTTATGTCATTTGTGCTACTTCAAATTCTTGTTTTTTTTTGTTGGGTAAATTCTCTTTTTGCGGTGTCCACAGTCCACATATGTACAGATTTTATCGAGTATTAATTTGCCATTTTCTTGAGATAATTAAGGAAAATATTTTTTTAACAAAGGTAATTTATTGGTTTCTGATGTCTTATAGTAAAAGTAGTTTAAAATGAATAAAAAAATATATGTTCACAATAACAAAAAACATGACCCACCTAAAACGACAGTGAAGATGAAGTTGATTGTTTATATATGGGCGAGTCCTAAGCTCGTCCACCTCTAAATCTTGGATATAGCTATTAATTTTATCCAAGTTGTAAATTACAATGGATAAGATTATAATTGTTATTGTTTTGCTTCCCTTCCCTTTTTTCTGTAGCAGTAAATTTGTGAAACTGATATTATAAAAAGAAAGTTTATATAAATTTAAATATAATTAGTTTATATAGCAAATATAATTCATTTCATTCCATACGTATATGAAGACTACTTAGCGAATTAAAATATCTCGATAAAAAGGGCTGCGCCTCTTAATTTAAATGTGCTTGACTATTAATGGGCTCATTAAAATATTATTTATGTAATCAGATGTTATTAAGAGGGTTTAATTAATAAACTTGTGTATGTGTAATTTTTTCGTAATTTAAAAAGCAATCGAAATCGCTTTTACGTCCTTATCAGCGATGTTTAGTCGGTTGAATACAGTGCGCTGTGGCAAAAGTCTATGCCGTCCATCGAAGTAAATTAGATTACTCGAGCGGTGTGGCGTTATTCTGAATACTCGCATTCGCTTTGCTTACCTCTTTCACCCTAAATTAACAACCTTTGGCACTAATTGTAAAACGTGTCGAACACCCATTATCCGACAAATTGAGTTCACTTTGTTTACGGCTTTAAAAGTATTACAAATAAAATTTTAACCTAAATAAACATTGTATTTGGCTTTATAATGTAAAATATTGTCGTATATAAA